AATTAAATATCCTTAAATTTATTTTTATATTATTTTTAAAAAAATATTTAATTAATTTTACTTGACGAAACTGCATGCTCTGTAAAATAATTTTAATTTTAGATTTTCTTATTTATATTTGTGTGTAGTTTCTTCATAATTGATTAAGGAATTTAAATTTTGGGTGATAGTATAGTAGTGTGTTATGGACTCTTTTAGTCTAGGGTATCAAAGCAAAATCATTTGATTGGAGTAATGTGACTTGGAGCGAAAAGATAATCATTATGTTTCTTCATCATAGGAACCTGTTAAAGTTTGCTAAATAGTAAAAGATTTTGGAATAAGTTTTTGGATTGTCAGGAACTTTGTTAATTTTGTTATGTGGTTTACTTTGTGAAGAATTTAAGTGAAGCTGAAGTGCTGTCTTCATGCAGATATCCTGCAACACCTGTTTCCTTGTTCTAATAGATTACTAATACATTGATAATTTTGGGTTCGCATGTTTAATCAAAATTTAGCTCGGTGCAATTCTATTTTAGTTTGAGTTTCAGATATTCCTTCACTGGTTGCTCCGCTCATATCTTGGAGGAGATGAAGAATGCAATGAAGATGGAGTGATTAGAGCTGGAATTTACTATTTTTTATCACAAAATTTTTTAGCGTTCATCAAATCTGGTGAGTCCTCAAGGTCTGTCTTTTCTGTACCGCCATTACATTTCCTCAAGTTGCGTGCTCTTAATTTATTTTGTTTTCATTCTTATTTTTTACATATTTCAACGTGCTTCTCATACCAGGGGAACATATCTGGGAATGCATGCGGTTGTACCTTTGTCTCGTTTTTTATTTTGTTTCTTGAAGCAGATGTGAACATGATTATATGCTTCACTGTCTGAGATACATCTAACGGTTGGAGATGAAGAAGGTGAAGGTGATGAAAAGATAATAATATGACTTTTTTCTGGTGTGGCAATGTGGGATTCACAACCAAACAAGAAAAAACACACTTAAATAATAGGTAGTGATTTAACTG